GGGGCTGGGGGTCTACCCTGGGGTGATATGCCGGCCAGGGGACTATCCCCCCTCAGAGCAAGATGGAGACCCAGGCACGAGCCGCCTGCAGCCCGGGGCCGCCCCGGGGGCCCCCGCCCCTTCCCGGGCCCCTCCCCGACCTGTTGAGCTCCCAGATGCGGACGGCGTTGCCCGAAGCGGCATACAGCATGCTGCCCGAGGGGCTGAGGGCAATCTGGTTGATCTGGTGCTCTCCCTGAGCGCTGGTGATGGTGCGGGTGGACGCAGCCGCACAGGCATCCCCTGAGACCACCTGGCCTGAGGACCTGCCCGTGAGGGAGAGAGGCAGGGTCAGAGGTAAGGGCTGGGCTGTCCCTCGCGGTTCTCCCGGGCTGGGTCCTGGCTCCTGCCACGCCACCAGTGCGAGCCGGGCGGGACGACTTACGTGAGGGTCCGGACGCACTTGGCCGAGTCTCGGATGTCCCACACCTTGATGTAGGAGGTGGACACGGAGAACACGAGCCCAGAGAGGCTGCAGTACTTGATGGAGACCACGTTGCTGGGGTGACCCTTCAGAGCTGCAATCTCCTGCCCCGTCACCAAGTTCCACATCTTACAGCTGCGGTCTGTGAGAAAGCGGGCGTGAGTGGGTGACAGCCGTCACGGCCGGGGCCCGGGGAGCTCCCATCCCCACAGCCACCGGGGCCGCCAAGGCCAGGAGAGGTGGTCCAGGGTTGCCCAGGGGACAGGCTCTGGGTCCAGGGGCGAAAACGTGCTCCCGCCTGCTCCCGTGGTGCACGGACGGGCCCGGCACTTCCCACCAGGGCTTCTCGGGCAAACTCCCACCAACGCCAGGTTCATGGAGCATCGCCGGGGCGCCGGGGCTGGAGTAAAGCTCCCGTGCCTGCCAATCGCTGACCAAATTAACAAACGATGGCAAGCAAGTCTCAGGGGGAAAACTGGGAACCAATCAACCTCACCTCGATTCACAACCCTCTCCCTCCTGCCACGCAAGTGGGTGCATACACATTTCCCACTGCTCTATTAGCTGCCTCCTGCACAGCTGCTCTTCCTGCCGGAAGGTAACGTTTTCTGACTGCCGCTGGGATTAAGGAATCCTAGGAAGTGCTCAGCCCTAAGTGCTGGGGTCGGGGAGGGGCTGAGATGAGCAAAGGCGGGGCACCTGACACGCTTCCTGGAGTTCCAGAGGCAGGTCTGGAAGGGGGTACTGGATGGAGACCCCAGAGCCAGCTAGGAGGGGAGGCCCGGGGTGGGGAGCCCTGAGCCCCGGCAGGAGACCCCACCTCCTCAACCTGGCGGCTGTGATCCTGTCTCCTGGGCAGCCCGCTCTGGCAAAGGGAGCGGGAGGGCGGGAGGTCCTGACCCCACCTGGCCGGTCCAGGTTCCGCCCACCTTTGGACCCTGTGAAGAGCAGCTCATCCGTGGCGTCCAGGCAGAGGATGGGCTTGGTGTGGCCCTCGGCCATGGAGACGCACTGCAGCGGGGCCGTCCGCGCGCCCCTGGCTCCTCCGACCGGGGTGATGATGCCCCTTCCCGGGAGAGAGGGAGAGAGGCGCCCGTCAGCCCGGGACCGCGGCCAGGCTGAGCGAGGCTCCTGGGTGAGGGACAGGCACAGGGGCACTCGGTCTGTGGCAGGGGCTCCAGCCACAGCCCCCCGGGTCCGAGAGCCGCGCAGACAGGGGCCTGTGGTGCAGCCTCTCAGTTGCCATCCTGAACACTCCTGGGGAGCAAGCCCGGCCGGGCACAGCCGGGGGGCCAGGACACGCGGGAGTCCCCTCCGTCGCCTGCCTGACCCAGAATCCAAGACACACACGCCCCCAGGCCCCAGCCGGGCGGTGCAGAGGCCCCAGAGCTGGATGGGCTCCTCCGGCACCTCGGTGTCCACAGGGAGGGTGGAGGAGTGCGGAGAGGGAGGGCGCCCAGGCCGCCACGCCGGGGCAGAGACGCGCGCATGCAGGTGTGCACGTCACCTCCACCTGGGCCCCTTTGGACCAGTGTGGTCAGATCCGTGACTGCCATCTGCAAAGGGCTAAGTCCCTCTGGGGAGCCCTGCTCAGCTCTGTGGGAAGAAAGTGCAGGCCCCCGTGCGGAGCGGAGCTGGTACGGCCCCCTCCTCCCCACAGACACTCAGAGACGAAGGACGCCTGTCCTGAGCGGACCTGAGGACTTCGCTACACACCAGCCTCCTGGAGGGCCTGAGGATGAGGATATTTTTCCCCACTGAGGGTCTCTGGGAACGAGCCCCTGGCCAAGCCACGTGTACGTCTGAAACATGGCCTATTCTTTCCAAAGACAGCGCCGCCCCTGTGGCCAAGCGCGTCTGACGTGACCAATGTCCTGCCCTGCCCGCAGCTGCTCAAGAGCCCCCAGACTCCACCGGCACCCCCACGGACGGCGGTCGGACAGGCCCAGCTGTCCCCGGTGTCGCAGGCACACGAACAGCCCCACCCCCCAGCTCCCCGCTTCTGACACTGGCTTGGGCCCAGGGGAAGGAGCCAGGGAAGGAGCTTAAGACAGCAGTGGGAAGACCCCAAGTTACAAGGATAATCCTCCGCCCATGGGAGGGGCCAGGGGGTGAGGGGGTGGCTGGCAGCCTTGCAGCCAGGGGCGTCACCCCCGGGGGCAGGAACAGTGAGTGGCGGTCGCCCCGGAAGAGCAAGGGGAGCCCTCAGCCCAGGGTGGCCCTTTCCCAGCCGGGGCTCAGGCCCACCAGGTCCTGGGACTTGCCCCTTGTTATGGGCAGTGAGAGAGGTGCGCGCGCGTGCGTGCGTGTGCGCGTGTATGTGTGCGTGCGTGTGCGCGCGCGTGTGCGCAGGGCTGGCTGAGGGGAGAGAGGTCTCCTGGTACTCCTGGCCTTCGGGCCAGGAGACATGGGCAGGGCCATTTCTCTTTCAGAGCCAAGGTCGGTGAGGGAGCCCCCGACACAGCTGAGTAAAAGCCGGGACGCTGAGCCCGCGAGACCCTCCAGCAGCCTTCCTCCAGGGCTCCGGCCCCCCAGGCTCCCGTGCCCGCCCCTCCCACCCGGTGACAAGCCACCAGCAGCCATGCCCTCCAGAGCCCCCAGCTCCAGCCTGGCGCAGTCAGAGGCCACGAAGCACCCACGAGAGAGGAGCCAGGGGTGAGAAGGGCAAGAGGGGGTCTGGGGGAGCCACGGAGAGGAGGGGCCGCATGCTGAGGCCAGGGTGCGGGGAAGGGGGACAGAAAGGGAGCAGCGAGCCATTCTGTGTACCTCAGGACCTCCGACAAAGAGGAGTCGCTGTCATCAGACCTGGGGGCAGAAAATTAGCTGGATTAGGGGGAGAGAGGGACACACACGAGGGAGCAGAGGCGGCAGCAGCGTGGGGAGGTCAGAGGGTGGTTATTCTCTGCAGGGGGAGCGGAGAGATGAGAGCAAGGGGGGCCTGAGGACAGCGGAGAGGAGGTGGGGCAGGTCGGGGAGCTTGGGGCGGGGATGGGGGCGCGGAGGGGCAGAGGGGAGACGGGCCTTGCTGGTCCCGGGATCTCGGCTGCCTCACTGCACAAGCTGGGGGCCCCCTGCCCCCTGAGCGACGCTGTGCCTCCTCCCACCCCTCCCAGGAGCAGGCCTCTCCCAGCAGAGCTTCAGGCACCTGCTGACCCCCAAGCACTGACCCCACGAGCCGCTGGACGGTGCCCGGGAGCTGCCTCTGCACACACATGGGCCCGACACCCAGGCCATCGGGCAGGACCGGGGTCTGGAAGCCCCCGGGGCTGAGATGCCAGGGTCCCACCCAAAGCTACTGAGAGAGACCTGTCAAGGTGTGAAGGGCCCCTGGCTGGCATGGGGGGGTCCCCTGGCTGGCATGGGGGGCACCCTGGCTGGTGCGAAGGGCCCCTGGCCAGCATGGGGGGCACCCTGGCTGGTGTGAAGGGCCCCTGGCTGGCATGGGGGTCCCCTGGCTGGCATGAGGGGCACCCTGGCTGGTGTAAAGGGCCCCTGGCTGGCATGGGGGGCACCCTGGCTGGTGTGAAGGGCCCCTGGCCGGCATGGGGGTCCCCTGGATGGCATGGGGGGTCCCCTGGCTGGCATGGGCCGGGCTCGGTGCTGTCTTCCCGCAAGGGGGGGCCACGGCAGGTTTGGGGCAGGAGCGATGTTTTGCCTCTGTGAGGAGAGGTGATGTAGGCAAAGGACTTGCACTTTGTAGCCTAGCCTGGGCTCCGCCAAAGGACAGAGGAGCTGTTAGAGCCGAGAGGAGCCCTCCGGGGGCTGCAGAAGGTTGGGTGTCGGGGGTGCTTAGCAGTGTGGGGGGCCCAGAGGGGAGCACAGCAGGGCGGGGCCTCTCCCTTCGCCACCGCGGAGGCCCACAAGTCAGAGATCCCAGGTTTGGGCCCAACTCAGCTGCTTTCTAGGTGTCCCGGGGCCTCTGAGCCTCATCTCCTCTTTGTAAAGCAGGGAAGGCAGTCCTCACGGCTGGTTTACATACTTCGGGCAGAATCACGTGTGTGCAAGCCTGGGGCGGCACCGGGGGGTGGTGCCCACCGCACTGGGAGGTGAGTGTCCAGTGAGAGCGCTCAGTAGGGGTGAGCTGACCCCACCATGTGACAAAAACGGGGTCTCCTTCTGCAAGGACCTTTCACAAGGGCGCTGGGGCGTGGCCTGAGCATTAGCGGGGGCGGGGCGTGTGTGTGTGTGTGTGTGTGTGTGCGCGTGTGCGTGTGACTGAAGCCGAAGAGAGGGGCTTCAGAGAAGAATCAGAATCAGCAGAGGAGGCAGCGGCAGCTCTGGGTAGGCCCTCGGGGTGCCCGACTGCCCGGGCCTGGCCCCGTGGCTTCCTTCGTGCCCTCTCCTGCGGTCCCCACACGCTCAGGGGATGGGAGGGGTCCACGGTCAGCACAGAAAGGGCAGAGGTGCCGGGGGAGGGGCCAGCGCAGCACGCCTAGGGTCTCCCCGCTGCCCGCCTGCCTGCGGCCAGGACCCGCCCGCAGCCTCCCTGTCCCCTCTGCGCCCCCCGCCCCCCGGCGCCCGGCTCTTACTTGTCCAGCGCCGACCCCTGGCTCTGGTTACTGGTGAGACGAGAGAAGACGTTTCGGTCGTTCCGGGGCCGAGTGGGAGGGGACGAGGGGGGCGTGAACCCCACGTCTGTGGACCTGGCAGGTGAGCAGGACAGAGCGGCAGCCGTTAGTAACCGCACCTCTGCCCACAGGCATGCACACGCGGCGTCGCCTGCACCACCTTCCGTCTGCTTGTGCGGCCGGCAGGGCAGGGGATCCTACGGCCCAGCTCCTGCTCAGTCCCCGGGGGTTGGTCCTCGTGATTCGTGGGTTCCGCATTTGGGAATTAATTCACCTGCTCACCAAAGCCTATCTGTCAGCCCCAAACAACACCCGCAGAGCTTTCCTGGTCATTTGCAGGCATGAGGACCCAAGCGCACATCTCCCCAGCTGAGGTCAAAAGAGGTGGTCCTACCTCCCTCACAGTGTACACAGCGCCCTTTCCAGTCTATTTAGTGCCATGATTTTCATATTTTTGTGCTTTTGGCTGGTGATTTCAGTGTTTAAAATGGCCCCAAAGATGGTGCGGCAGAGCCACCTGGTGTCCTGAGCTCAAGGAAGCTGGGACGTGATTTACAGAGAAAATACGTGTTAGATGAGCTTCGTTCAGGCATGAGTTCTAGGGCTGTTGGCCCTGAGTTCAATGTTAATGAGTCAACGGTACATATTGGATTAGGTGTCTTTAAACAGAAACTCACATGACAGGTTGATGAAAACGCTGGGACCAGAGGCTCCCAGGAGCCCAGCCCTGTATTTCCCGGGAACAACGGCTCAGGATTCGCTAAGTCGTGTTCACGGTGACTTGACAACACAACTGCCACAAACAGCGCGACCTGATCTCCAGGGAAGAGTCCAAGGCCTCACGGCGCCACCCCTTCCAGCACCCACGACCCTGCTCTTTGGAGGGTGGTCCTCAGGTTCAGCCCATCCTCCCTCCCTTTGGAGGGTCATCACGAGACCAGCCTACATTCCCCCCAATTGCAACTCAGTGTGTTCTCTCTGTCACGGGGGGCGGGACGGTCTGTGGGGCCCCGGGTACACAGATGCCCTTGCAACTCCTCCCACCGAAGGCCCATCTGCAGCCACGGGCATGGGCGGCTGGACCGGAGGGAGGGACAGGCGCATGTCCCCCTCCCGACAAGGCAGGTGCATGAGGTCATCCTGAGCCCCTGCCCTTCTACTACTTTGCTGTGTGACCTGGGGAGGCCACCAAACATCTCTGAAAATTAAGGTGACCCTGAGAGGCGTCGGGATACCCAAAGAAGCCCGTGGGGCCCCATGAGTGGCTGGCCGGCTGGGGACTGTCTGTCCTTGGTCCTGCATCCCCTCCCAGGACTGTCCTTACTCACCTACACTCCGCCCACAGGACAAGACCTTGAAAGGGGCTGAGGCCTTCCAAGGACCCCTGGCCGTGAACGGGGCTGAAGCCCACTGGTCCCGTGACCAGTCCAGGCCACTGCAAATCCGCCCACGCTGAGCTCACGGCAGCTGGCAGTTTTTAGCAGCGGCCTTGGCCACCAGCTCAGGTGCTTATGGAGAGATTGTTTCCTGAGCCGCAGCTGACGAAGTGAGGAAGGGGCCGTGGGGGGTGCCGAGCGGGGCCGGATGAAAGTGTGCAGGACAGTGTACAGTGGGCCTCCCAGCGATTCCCGCCCCCAGGGTCTAGGACATGTCCTCACCTGATGGGCTGCCCTCGGTCATATGACTTCCTTCGGGTCAGAGGGGACGTCTCCGCTCCTCGAGACTGCCGGGGGCTGGAATGCAGGGTCCAGTGAGGCCTGGGCCCAACTCCCGGTCCCACCCATGCCCCCACCACTCAGCTCCCTCCTTACAAAGTGCTCCCTCTGCTGGGCAGGCTGATGGTCCGAGAGACCTTGTCCCGGTAGTAGGGGTCTCGGATGGAGAAGCCCACTCCGTCCTCTTTGATCTCCACGAGGGAGGCCAGGGACTTAGTGATGTTCTTGGTGGACACGTCCAGCGGGGGGCCCAGGCACTCGGCAGACACGGCCTTCATCTGGGCGGACAGCTTGGGCTCACCCTGAGACAGGAAGGGCTGGTGGACCCACTGCCCAAACACGATGGCACAGAACGGGGCGCTGGGGGAACTCCAGCGGGGAGACGCGCCGCCGGCCTGAGGCAGAGGAGGTGATGGAAGGGCCCCGGCAGACACGACCCAGGCACGTCTCCCGAGGCTTCTGGAGAAGCCAGACCAACAGGAAATGCCTCTGCTGCCCTTCTTTAGACTTCGCAAACAGAATGCCAGGCTGACCTCTGCTGCTCACCAGCTCATCAGTTACTCAGAGGCTGTGCACAGGTCGCCGCTCCCAGTCTGCAGGGCTCTCCCTCCTCTCTTTACTGAGTCCTGTTTCGTGGTTCCGTCTAGTCTAGTAGTTGCTCCCTCAGTGTCAGACAGACTCCCTCCCTTTTGAGTCAGTAATCCGCACGCACAGTAACTAGACATCCAGGGTGGGTCTTTGACTCAGATCAGGAGGCAGAGTCTTGGTGCGGAAGAGGGTGGAGTCCTGACAGCGAGGCCTCGGGCTATGATGATGTCACTCCACCCACTTCAAAAGGGATGGGCTGTAACGGGCCACACATCTGGGCACCCCGACCCTTTCCAGGTTAGACCCTTCTTGGCCGCCGCACCAGCTGGAGGCAATGCTGGGCTGGGGTTGAGGGTAGGGGCAGAGCCCCAGGAAGGTGGGGACCAGGCTTGGGGGAGCCCCCCGCCCCCGGCCGCCTTCTGGTGGGGCTCACCTTGAACTTGAAGTCGTCGTGGCTGGTGGAGCCTTTCATGGTGAACGACTGGGAGAAGCTAAGGAAAAAGCAGAGGAGGGCCAGGATGCAGATAGCTGATGTCCCGGCTCCCTGGGACTCAGGTTCATGGGTCCCAAAGAGCCCCCAAGCCCAGGCTCAGCCCTCGACCCCCCGGCAAACCCCCAACCCAGCCCCAGGCACATGCTCGCTCCCAACCTGGAAACTCACCTCCCCTCCGAGAACTCAGACACCTCCTCATCTGTGCTGGCGTAGCCGTTCTCTGCCGGGGAGGAGGGAACCGAGGGGTGAGGCCCCACCAAGCCCACCCTCCCTCCCACCCCTCAACCTCTGGGATCGGACCGCAGCTTCCGGGGAACCTGGGGGAGGGAGGGTCTCTGAGGCGGGACGCAGGGAGCCCCGGGGGTCTCTGGGGGCCCCGAGTCCTGCCCCCCGCCTTGTACCCTGCTGCACGTTGTGGATGAGGGCCTGCAGCTCGGGATGGGCCTCGGCCTTCTCGCGCAGGGCGTCAAGCAGCAGGTGGTTCTGGGAGGGGCCCGCTATGTCTGTCTGCCTCAGCCGTCCCTCCAGCAGCCGGATCTGGGCCTCCTTCTGGGCCACCTGCAGCCCCTGAGGGCGGGGAGCGAGGAGGCCTGGGGTTACCCCTCCCGGCCTGGGGCTGGGGGGGCCCCCGTCACTGCCCTCCCAGGATCTGCTCCCAACCAGACGCCTCCCCGCTAGCTCCCAGGCCCCAGCCTGTGCCCATCGCAGACCTGTGATGCACCCCAGCCCCCTTAATCTCCCCCCCCATCCACGCTGTGGGACACACTCCCTGTTACGGGCAGAATCGTGTCCCCAGAATGCATATGTAGATGCTGTAACCTCCAGGACCTCAGAATGTGACTGTGTTTAGAGATGGGGTCTTCAGGAGATCATTACGTTAAAATGAAGTCTCTAGAGGGGGCCCTAATCCCTGTGACCGGTGTCCTTATGAGAGGAGGAAATCAGGACACAGACACACTCAGAGGGAGGACCTCAGGAAGGAAGAAGATGAGTCTACAGGCCCAGGAGCGAGGCTCAGAGGGACCTGCCCCGCCTACACCTCGATCTCTGACCCCAGCCTCCAGGACCGGGAGTAGTAAACGTCTGCCGTAACAGGCCCCCTGTCTGCGGTGCTGTGGCCGCGGCAGCCCCGGCGGAGGAACACGCTCCCGAGTGGCAAAGCAGAGCTGAGAGAGCTCCCTGGGCGGGCGAGGGGTCAAGGAGGCCAGGCCCCTCTGCCCCTTCTCCGAGTTGCCCCGCAGGCACAGACCCCGGGGGAAGGAAGTCCCCACGGCCAGCGCTCTGTCGGGCAGAGGGGACAGGGGACTGACAGAGGCCAAGGGATGCCTTCTGTTCCTGCACGATGCCACTGCCCCCACTCCTGGGCGGAGCATGTCTGTCTGGTCCCGTTGCCCTACTGGAAGCACACGCGCGCGCGCGCGCGCGCACACACACACACACACACACACACACACACACACTGCCCCCTCCACCTCCGCGGGCTCAGGCCCAGCCCTACTCTGGACGGGCTCCCACCAGATGCCAGGGTCGCCCCCGCCGCAGGCCCTGCTGTGTGCCAGGCACCACGCCAAGCCTCTGGCCCCGTCATCTCATTAAAGCCGCAGGCGCAGCAAGCCGTCACCCCGCTTTGCAGCCTCGGCGCTCACCGGCGCCTGTGAGGGACGCTGTCGGGCGCCCGGCTGGGCGCTGAATGCTTCGTCTCAAGGGCGGGTCCCGGGGCTGCCCGCCGCCGGCCTACCTTGTCGATGGACGCCTTGAGGAAGTTGTCTAGCAGGAGGCGGGCTTCGGCCAGGGAGCAGGAGCTGATGACCACCGACGTGTCTGTGGAGTCCAGCTCCTCCTGGACCGGGAGGCGGAGGGCCCGCGTCACCAGGGCTGTCGCCCCCGGGCCCCGGCGCCCTCCCGCTGCCCCGCCACGGGCACCTTGGCCTCCTCCAGCTGCACAATGGTGGCCTGGCAGTCGCCGATGCTGTCGTTGATGTAGTCGATGTTGGCCGCCAGCACCTCGATCTCCTCTGCCAGCTCCTGCAGCCCCTTCTCCTCTGGGCTCTCGGCCTGCAGCCGCTCCCGCTTCCTCCTCAAGGCCTCCTGCAGGAGGGACAGCTCCTCCCTTTTCTGGGGGCAGGG